GTCCTCTGTTTCCTGTTTGACACTGTAAAGCTGCTTTGACACAATCTGTATTGTATAAAGCGCTATATAAATAAAGGTGACTTGACCTGACTTGACTTAACGGAATAGATAACCCAAAGATTTGCAACAAGATCTTGAAACATGGATTTTTGAATCATGAATCATTTGCTTCAGTCAAGAAAATTTACTCACCCTCACACCATCCAAATAAATGGTTATATTAATGTAAAATTAAAAAAAAGGGGGGGAAAAATGATTATATTAATGTAAAATTGATGTTATTGAATTGGTTTAGTTGTCAGTATGAAAGAACATCCTCTCACAGCATGATTTCTTATGGATATCTGTTGTTTAGCTCAAACGTGCTAGTTAATGTATCCATATTCAATTCAAGTGGGATATGGTCTCGTCACCCCATCTTAAATGAGTTCTTTCAGCACCTCGGCACCTTCTATTTCAGAGTACAGACACACACAGATAAACACTTACACTCCCTCATGCAAACACATCCCCTTTAACCTTCTCCCACACCCATGATTTCAGAATTGTGCTGGCAAGGTTGGTAAGTTTGTGGTAACAGTGTCCTCAGATATGTTCACCATCTTTTCTGCTGTAACTGAAAACAGCTTGCTCCTCATTTCAGATGTCCTCATCTAACTCCTTTTCTTCTAAAGCCTGTTCCGGTTCATGTGTTTGGTAAAACTACAATTTTCAAGCTATGATGGTTTGTATAAAATCTCTCAAGAAAAAAACAAACAAATTTTGACTTGAATAATATATATTTAATATTTTATAGGTTAATCGTTTTAACAATAGTCAAAGTAATATAAAGTTGCTGTAAGTAAGCAAGACATAGTCCAATAGATAAGCTGTGAACATCCTGTATTTGCACTTGAGGTTTGACACCCTTAAAATCAGCATATCTTCTCTGAATTACCTTACACAGGGTTCAAGAGTTTCTGGACAGTTAATGGAACTGTCATTCACCCTTTTGGGCCAGTGCTGCATTACTAATAAAAATTTTACATTCGTTGTACATCTTGTATATCCATTTTTATGCCTGTACTATAAGACAACATGTGTACTTCTAGTTGTGGTACTGTTAGGGCCACAAGCTCTTGACATGCACACACACAATCACTGTAGACCAGGCATGCCCATAAAACATATCCAAAAACATATATAACCTTCTGAAGGAGGAACCCATAAATCTTGTTAAGGGGCCCAGATATAGATATCCACTACTGCCTATCTATGGTCCTTATGGCATTAAAACTAAACCAAGGCCAAGAGTCAAAGTCATGCCAGCATGTGCTAAGAACATATTTACAGATTCTATGGTACATAGCATATAGATGTTTATACTGTATGTGAATTCATTTTTAGTATGATAAAATTTTACTTTTTTTCCAAGCTTGTTGTTACTTGTGACAAGGTAATGTCACTCTGTCCAGTGTGAAAGGTGAAAAGGAACCACATGAAATTTTCTAGTATTCAGTTTCTGATAACAGCTAGTGCCATGAGACTATGATTAACACGTCTAATTCAGCCAATAAATCTTGCCAAGGTGTTCAGAATAGTCTGGTCAGACTTTCATTCCTGTATTTATCTTTGGTTTGACTTCATGTCAGCTGATTTTCCTTACAGGTAGCCTCCAGAATTCTAAGCAATATTACACAGCAATAGAAACACACTACAGGTCAAATTTTGGAATGATTAAGAATTTCTGACGGATCATGTGACACTGAAGACCGTAGTCTTGACTGCTGACAATTCCGCTTTGCCATCACAGGAAAAAAAAACTTTTTATAATATATTATTAGAACAGTTATTTTAAATGTCTTACTGTATTTGTGATCAAATAAATGCAGCCTTGGTGACCATAAAATACTTTTTAATAACATTATATATCTTCATTTTTCCAAACTTTTGACCGGTAGTATACAAATGATTGTAATTGCTATTTTACTGGCTTTGAAATAGATATTAAGATTTATGTTGTTTGTAAATGGCAATCACTTCAAATATTGTCTTTTTTAGCAGCCTGATGAAAGCCAGTGTTGCTTTGAGACCTAATTCAGATGACACAATTATGGACACCACACAGGTCTGAGTTTACTGTATGTGTGAGGTCCACAGATTTGGCCATTTAGTTCACAATAGGGTCATTTGGACAATTTTATGCCATTTTGAATTATACAAAGAAATTAAGCAAATGTAGAGGAGGGGCAAAAGAAACCATCATCTCCTGGTATTTATTTTGTCAACGTTCAATCAATGGCATAAGCCTGTGGCTGTGACTACTTCCAGAACAAACAAATCAGCGTCATAAATCTGTTTCAGATTGAGTTTCATCAAGCCGTGGGTTCATCATTACAGCTTTATGTTCCAGGCCATATCACTGGACTCGATCAGATGTCAGGGAAGTGACAGCAGATTGTCACCTTCTATAATACAACAGTCCACGTAATTGTTTTTAGAAGATACCTTCGCTTACATTTCATCATTAAACTGATAGTCAGCTAGCAGCTGACTGATGCAGTGAAGGTCATCATTCAGCATGGTTTAGCTCACCATCTTTTAAGTCATAACCCTTTGCCATGTGCTGAATTTACAAGTGCAATCATGCGTTGTGTGTAGCTGCTTTATTGAGTTTGCATTCAGCTGCTTGACATGGCTGCCCCTTCAGCTCAAGGGTCTATTTGGAGTAAGCAGCACATTGTGGTAATGCAATCCATACAGACAGCAGAAAGACATTGTGTTCTTTGCCTCATGTGCTTTTGTGAATGTGTCATGATTTTCTTTAAATTCCAAATTTGTTTGTTTGGAATTTAAAGACGAGTATAATGAAAATGCAGTTTTTGATGATCACAATGACACTGAGAGTGATATTAACGATTAACAATGTTGAGGTTAATAATTATATTTCTGCAATGATGATGATGAGGACAATGCTCATCAATACAATGCTCAAAATAAAACAAATAAATGACAAATGAAAGTTGAGCTGTGTTGGGATGGAAATGGCATATCAGTCTGAGTGTAATGGAGGTGCTGGAATTTACAAGAATACCACAGAGGACACACTGTGGGCTTCTCCAGACAGTCTCGCCACAGTCCCACACAACCATTATGTGCAAATGTCAATGTCATAGAGGATCAGAGTTAGTTGGTGTTAGAGCAATGCACTTATGGTCACTGCCCCAGACAGCAGAGGAAGATCCATTGTTAGCGTGAAGAATAAGGGAGGAGAAAAGGATGTGAATTGGAGAGAGAACAACAAAATCCTTTCATCCACAGAATTAGTGGGTTACATCAACCAGTTCAGCCGGGGATGGAGGGGAACATACCAAAGCAACAATCAGTCCATAATCATGGTACTTTTTAAGTAGTCCTAATAGCAAATACTGCTTTGAATTAAATTTCCAATCTTTTATTTAAAGATTGATGTTGGTTCTTGTTTTGTTTTGACTGTGTCTTTCATTCAGTTTAATGTGGGAGATCCTGTATGTGTAATGTTATCTGAACCAGTGTTAATCTGGGCTGAGTGACGAGAGGAATATGACATGAAGTAAGCAACAGTATCCTCTAGTCATGTGATCTAGAGAATGATTCTAGGCCCCAAATGTAAAGCTATGAAGCTTGCAAG